GAGTTATGTGGTAGAAGAATGTAATAGCACCACCGCCAACCACAGTGAAGGGTTTTGCTGAATTGACAAGACTTTATACGACTATTGAAGGGTGGAGGGATGACGTAATTTAAATGTTCGTGGTAGTTACTATATTGATTGACTAAATTGTACTTGGATATGTGCCATGGCTTTCTACGGCGACAAGTCGCCATTTAGTTTAACCTCTACAAAGACTTACGAACATTATAATTGTCGGACAATCGGCGCGATATTGGCCTCAGTTCATTCTTCGTGTCTTCTCTTTCGTCTCTTGACGACATAATAAAACTGTTGGTCTTGAGAATCGGGTGGCAGTTGTCGGAACGGTGCCGGCGGTGTTTAAAAAACAACAGATCAATAAAAGTGGAAGTTATTGTTGATTTTTTTTTTTTTGCTTTCCTCTCTCCTCATGGCCGACGTTGCGGTGCTTTCTCCGTTCACTCTCTTGGCCGTCGTTTGTTTAATAAGAAAAGTTCGTAATTTCCGCGCGATTGTGTGTGTCCTTCCGCGAGCTGTTACTATAGTAACGTCGTCGTTCCTCGGCGGATTCACCCTTTTATATTTCCTCCCCGTTCTACACCTCCTCCTTCGACCTCCAAGGGGTTTTCGTTCCTATACTATTTTATTTTTTACACTAACACACAATCGTCCGCGTGTCTCTCGGTGCAGCAGTATTTACCGACTGACGTTAGAGTCTCTGGTAAAAAAAAAACCGCGCTCGTGAGGGTGACTGCGTGGGCAGAGGGAATGAACTAAAAAAAAAAGGGTGACCGTCGTCGGACAGGAGTGTAGCGAAAAAAAATTACGCGATCGATAAGTATACTGTGTTGTTTTTATATAACCCTCTTTTTTGGCTCCGTGTAATTTATAATTATTGTCTTTTCCTATGCAGCGGCTATATTTATGACCATAGGAAAAAAACGGAAATTTAAACGGTTATTTATAACGAACAATAGGGGGTTAGGTCTTTTTTTTTTGTTCTAATAACGTATGGGCTCATCACGCGACTGTATTATTATTGTTTATGAGTGTGTATTAAAAAAAAAAGTATCAGCTATATTAAAGAGTCCAGGCATAATTAGACTCGATAAAGTCCGCGTGACTATTACTTAGCTTACTAATAAACACATTAAACGCAAGGGGTTTTAAATAATTTATTTTTTAATGTAGTTAAAATTGAAAGGATTATTATATTAATTAAGTTCTTCTAGAACGCATATAATCGATGTAATTTTCTCCAGTTTTGTGTAGAATAAATGGAGAAATTTTATTATAAACATTGTTATTCGTATGTTGAATTAGAATGAACAAATAAAAGTCGTAATAAGATTTGTAAAAATTACATTGGCTCGTACAAATCTGAAGACAAATTAGTGCAGACAATGGATGGCGAGGAAAAAACATTTTGAAGACCTGACGTTTTACGCTGTGTGTATACAAAAAAAAAAAAAAGCGTGTTTGGGTTTGTTCATGTGTGCGAGTGTGCATAGTTTATTCACCCACGAGTTGAGAGAGGAGTGGGCTTCTTACTTCCCCTTAAAACGCGGGTAGTGCGAGTGCTTTCTTCCCTTGTTCCGTACGAACCTGAAACCGCTTAACCGCAGTTAGTCACATCCGGTTAACGTGTGTCGCAAATATAATATTTAAATGTACGTAATGCACAGCAACAATCGTTTTGACTAAGTGGTGTACATAAACATTTACTGTATCGTTTCACATGTCGAACGCTGTAGAAAAGTACATGATCCTGCTGGCACTTAACGACCGCATTACGAATGCCGCAGTCGAGTTAAATTTATGTCGGCATAACGTTACAAATTTCAAATAGGATAAGCCGACTTAAAAAATAATTTCACTGTTGTCATGGTCATGGTTCTTTAATGGTATCCGTCGTGTAAACGAGCCAAAAACGTGTCGAGTTGTTATAGTTAGAGCACAGCCGAGTGTGTACCACACGGGTAAACTGTGACTATGACAATGATGTGTGTCGCATCTTCCGCGATTATGTATTTTTAGATTACAAATTCAAGTGCGGGGCGGCGATGAACGAGTAACGACGATCCGCATGATGTGCTCAGTGTGTTACTAGGACAAGGACGGGTTTGGCAGCAAAAACACGGTCGGCTAAACATTTTGATATTCATTCGATAAGAATTAGCCGTTCGAAAACCGCCTCCAAAAAAATGCAACTGTTCAAATAGTCGCCCGTTGGCTCGTCAGATATAAATTTTTACAAAAACACATCGTTTAGCCTTTTCACCCTGTTCTCAATGCGTTTTTTTTTTTTTCAAAACGGGACGTCTATTATTTTTGCAATTGAATGGGTAAAAAAATAGTTTTTATCGAAAAAACGGGTTCTGATACGGTTTGCGATGCGTTTTCCCCGTGAATTCGTAAAATAATATAATATGTACAGTTGCACTGAGCGTCTCTGTGTGTATATAATAACTGCAAATACGTACGTGGTCTGTAGCCGCCCACCTTTTGCCCCGAGGACTCGCCGTCGGCTATGCGAGAGGAGGGCGTACGGCGAGGGGTAACGATTCAGCACATGGCCCACTTCAACAACTGAGCCATCAGAGACAACAGAGCACACTATACGTTTCCTGGTTTGGGGTAAAAAGTATTTCTGTTGATGAAAAAAAAAAAAAACCCTTTATTACTCTTTCAATTGTCGTGTGCCCAAAATGTATCACAAAGCATTTCACGTTTCAGGAAACGGGTTTTTAGCAAAAAAAGTCTATTTTCCTACGGTCTCCCCTAAAATAAAAAAAAAAAATTGATATAAAGGGGTTGATTAACTCCGGTTAATCCGCAACAAAGGGTTGCTGCCTATTGAGTGAATACCTTCTATTTTATTGTTATTATTATTTTTTTAGTTGGTACGTGTCACCACCGACGGAGTTTCCTCATTCGTGAAATGGTTACAAATCATTTAAGAGGTAACCGTTTCCTATGATACAAGTCTGAACGCGTGTGCCGTATATAATATACGGAAACGTTTTTGTCGCGCTACGTGGTGACAATAATAATAATAATTTTTCAACCGTTTTTCATTTTTTTTTTTCCTATGTAGTTAAACACACTAGATTTACTTTTACCCTTCCACGAGTCTGAAAATATATTGCGTTTTAAACGACGGCCACCACAAGCCGGTCATGAAGCACTTGCGACCGCGAACGACTGCGACGTTTATATGACACGTCATAATTTATTATGGACAATAAAAATAAAAAACAAACACCACTAGAAAAAACACAAATCGCCATCAATTTAGTACCGTCTTGCGGTGTTTAATTAAATACCAAAACCGAAACTATTTCAAACTGTTATGATTTTGACGTAGTTTGTTCAACTTTGTAATTAATGATTTCTTAGAGTTTATTTTTAACTAATAGGATCCTAATTTGATAACATTAAAAAAAAAAACTTCCAACAATAAAACAATATCGGAATCCAATGAGTAAATATTTTATGTGCACGTCGAAAATACACGCAGACACAATAAAAATATTGTATTTTTATGCGCTTGATGAAAAAAACCATTTTTTGGCTTGTACCTGCTGCGAAAAGGTCATCATACTACCCACTCATTGCAAACACAACCATAGAACATAACGGGTTTTCAATATATATATTTATTAATTTGGCAAAGGAACCGTTCTTCGAAGAGGGGTTATTCGGTTTGTTTGAACCCTCTTCGAGTTTTTTTACTTTTCATCTATTTTTTTGCAACGCATTAACCCATTTTGGATTTCTTTGGTTTTTCCATTAAAAAATAAAAAAATAGTCCCGTACGTGAATCTTCCAAAGAGGAACATATGCTCGCGATGTAACGGCACATTTTTTTTTACAAAAAGGATAAAGGTAGGCCGTAGAAATTCGAGATTTTTATTCTACGGCGACGTGTAACACATATACATTTATATATAGGTCATAATCCACGACTCACGGGATGTCAGTTAGGTTTATACATAGACAAAAAGGAAGTGTTATATTTTTAAAGACTTGAGCACTTTTATTCAGACCATAACTCAAAATACTTCAACAATTAAATAATAATAATAATAATAATAGTTAATAATAATGATAATAATTATATACCTTAGTAAATTTCTAAGATGGCACAAATATTATTGACAACCGATTAAATAATAATAATAATAATATTGATGCGAGTAATAATAAAAATAATATGTATATAACGTTAAATACTTTCAAAATATTTCAATATTAGGTAATAGAAAAATGAATATGATTATTTTGACATTTAAAGCGGTTTTTTTTCACTTAATAAAAAATACAAATCATACCAAAAAAAAATCAATATCAACAAAGTGCCACAGAGTTAAATGAATAAATATAGCTATATATATATATATACATATATATATTTAAATAATGTATTACTTAATAGGGCAACATTCAACACTATAAACGCTGTGCCCCACAAAATTCAGTCTTAACTTTACGACAATTTGTACAACACGTCAATACAATTACTATTATTATTATTACATAAGATCAATGGCGATATAGAGGTAAACGAATAAATAATATCTTACTTGATATAATAGAATATATTAGTTATATTAAATTGTTATAAATATAGGAGTAAAAAAAGTTGGGCTAGAAAAAAACAATGATATCACATACGCACTTGTACTTTACATAACAAAATGGGAATGTTATTGAAACAGGAAAAAAAAATATATATATATATTTATATATATATATATACTTAAATACATTATTAAAATTACTATTTACAAATTTACAAACACAGAATTTTGTATTCAATCACACCCGTCCCAGTTTCGTGCTGGTGAAATTCCTAGCACCAAATTAACATTTAAAATAAAATACATTGTACAGATGACACAGTTAAAGTATGGGGGCGAAACAACACATTAATTGAAAAAAAAACTGTTAAATTACATTAAAAAAAAATATACATACATTTAATATATATATATATATATATGTAAGCCTATATAGAATATAATAGCTGTACAGGTTTTATTTTATATATTCATTTTTAAATGTATTGCACGAATTGTTTTGATTAACGTCTGACAAAGTAAAATAATAATAAAAAAAGAAAAACTAAATTTAACCGACGAAAAATTAATGTTGAGCTGACAAATAGTTTTTTCTTTTTTTGTTAATTTAAAACACACACATACACACACCAAGTCGAGCTGAGATAAATAAATGGCGTGGAGATCCTTTTTTAATAAATTAATAGGTTGTCTTGAGAGCTAGCTATTTACAAGTTAGATCGATAGCCAAGTCCATAGGTTGATCCGCTCTGGCCATATCGACCATCATGGATTCCCGCTTGATATCCACAACGGCGACCGACCTTGATTTGATAGACAAGTCTTCTGGTTCGGTCTGTTCCGGCAATTGGAACTGGCTCAATTTGACATCGGTCTGTTCCGGTAACAGGAACTGGCTGAACTTGGATTCGGCACGTTCCGGTGACTGGAATCGGGCGATGAACTGCAGATAGTGATACTGTTCGATCGGAGAGGGCGTCGGCGGAGACCCGGCCGGAGGTTGCAGCATATACGCGGCTTGTGGCTGGGGCGGCGGTGATGACCAGTAGTTGCACGGAACGGTATTCTGTGGCGATGGAGGAGGCGAGCCATGAGCGGCCGGCGACCAAGGGGTCGACGTGGATGGTTCAGTCTGTTCAGGCAAAATTGTCGTGGCTTCCTTGTTGGCGCCTCTTCTTCGTTTCTGCGCTGGTTTGACGTCGGTCACGCCGCGAGGCTTGTTGTTTTCCTTATGCTGCCGTTTGTGTTCCTTTAACTCGGCGGCTGATTCGAAGTAAGCGACACAGTATTCGCAAGGATGTGAACTTTCACCGGTGTGCGTCTTGAGATGACGCCGCAAATTAGCCACTTGAACGAAAAACCGGTTACAGTGCGGACACCAAAACGGTTTTTCGCCGGTGTGCAGGCGGACATGAGTTTTGAGATGATGGTCGCGGGTAAAACACTTCTGGCACACGGAACACACAAACGGCTTTTCACCGGTATGGGTCCGTTCGTGATTCTGTAGCACGTGTTTGTAGCCAAACTCTTTTCCGCATACTGTGCACTTGAACGGTCGGGTCTGCCGTTGACGGGAAGACGCCGTAGACGGTGGATTGGACGACGACGTGGATGAAGCGACAGAAGACGTCTCGTCGTCTACGGCTGGAGCGGCAGAAGCTGCTGGCGGTTGATTGTTGTTTCTTCGGTCCAGCCAGTCTGGGTGCAGGTCGAATACTTGCCGCATGATCTGTAGAAGGACAACGTCTGTGGTAGTGGGTGCCGTTGCCTCCCGTTGCTGAAGTTGTGGTCCGCAATTGTCTTTTAACCGGTGGTACGCGTCCACAAACAACGAACGCAATTCTTGTTCGTCTCTGGGCAAATGGCCAAGGTTGTATCGTTCCAAAAGTGCGTTCAACACTATATGAACTTGATCATCATTTACACTTCCTGTAAACATGAAAAAAAAAAAAACATTCTCATTATTGCTACTAGGAAAAAAACAGGGATTTTCTATGTATTATCAACGTTTTAACTTTCAACGTTTACAAATAACAAGGCAATTTATAAAATTAATTAATTAATAACAGTGATAATAGGGAGACGGTAGTTTCCATTTTCTTGGCTGCTTTACGCAAACGATATTTAAATAATTTAATCGCATTACATCAGTTATATCTGTAGGACATATAATTGATGAAATACAGTTAAAAGGATAACAATAATAACTTATCGAGGAAGTTGTATCATATTTCAGTAAATTAATAAAAATATAATTAACCGATAACAACAAAATTGAATAACATTTAACTATTTAATATAATTCACGTAGATTGTATTTACTATTAAAAATGAATTCAATAAAAACATAGTAAAAAGTTGCAAAAAATATTATTCATTGCAATACATATTGATATTTACACAATAATGTAATATCAAAAACATAGCTATTTATCAATTTCAAATGCAGTTGTAAACAAAACAGTAACAGCAATATAATTAGGTGTAAAGTTTAAGACAATTTTGCATATTAATCGGAAGGTTTAAAAAAGACCAAAGGATGGGATGTTGACATAAATTAAAAGAACCTAATAGACCTACGATTCTCGGCAAAGGTTTTCCATGATAATGCGACATTGTAAAATCAACGTGATGTTTGCACTACCATAACAATAATGATAATGGACTTGATTATTTTTTTTTGTTCACCTGACCTTTTTCTACGGATGTTTAGAAATTACATTATTAGTTATACTATTATGATACCGAGAAGGCACACATATATTTTGGTAGGCACGGGTTCGTTATCAGAAAATGTAACGTAGAAACACCGAGAAGACTCTTTTATCGTTCACGGCCATACTTTAGGTAAATCATATTTGTCTAAATATAAACCGTTCGGCCGACGCCGTTGTCAATAATACACGCACGACGTTTCCGGTTGAAACACCACCTTTTACCTGTTAAAAAGTGATAATTTCTGTTGTTCATTTACAAACGGCTAGTATAGTGCAGAAAAAATGATTTTACACCGAACAAAAAACGCTGGTCAACCGTCGCGATAGTGTCATAACGGTAATTAACTTTATCGCGTAGGGGTTTTACGGTCATATTTTTAGATGAAGAAAACATTGAACATATTAATGAGAATGTCGACTTTATTATCAATTAGTACGAAAGTAAAACTCTACGGACGACGTTACTCTACAAACAAATTTCGTCGGATAAAAACTGTAAACAATTGTGAATTTATGAGAACTGTACCTTTAATGTCCACGTCCATGTCCGTCGTGGATGTCATGAACGGCTCCCGGTCGGGCTTTGGGGTCCCTAGAACGGGCGCCATCAGACTTTCATATAACACCATATATTACGCCACGTCGACCGTGGAAGAAGCGACAAATGAATCGCACGGCCGTTCGAGCAAAACAATTTCACCGATGGCACGTCGGTTGCAGCAGCGAACGATCGGGTGATTGAGAGTGCAAGTAAAAAAAAAAAACGGCAACACAAACGCGGACACAAAGCGAACGATATTGAAAACGACAATGTTTGTGTTGACGCGTTTTCGTCGCGTGTTGAATAACACTTGATGTTTTCCGCGTGATACGTAAGACAACAACAACTACTGGTGAGACAGCCACGACATCACTGACAACGCACACGGATGACACTGAGATGTAGAGTGGTGTTCGTTTTGCCGGATTTTTTGGAAACCGGCTCGTCTACAATGGGTGGGCGGGCGGCGGCGAGGGGTCCGGCGTGTTAGCCCCGCCTAATTCGTTCCCACCACCGCCGGACACCGACAAATGGGGTGGAAGTAGGGAAGTAACTACACGCGGCTGATCCGCGTCGATTTTCCCTACGGTTCTACGACGCTTTTTTTTCTCTTTTTCGCAAGACTTATTATTATTTTTTTAACTACCGGTCTTCCGTTCTTTCCAGTAACTATTACACCGTGTTACACTAAGCCAATTATGATCGTGCACAAAAGCACACCGTGTCTCGGACACTATTGTTTTCTCGTAACGTCCTTGTTATTTTTTGATTAACCCAAAATTTCCCAATGTATCTTGTTAGCGCGATGATTATTTGTCGGCCATTATAAAATTGTTCTTTGTAGTGTGTAAAGCTATTTAATTAGGCGATAACTAGATAATCGTGAAAAGATTTCTGCACAACGCTTTAGGATTGTCAAAAAGGATAGGAAAAAAGCTTTACAATATTAATTATAACCCAGCCTTCTCCCGCCGTTAAAATTAGACCATTGTCGAAAATAAACTCGGAGAGCAGTACCATTGTTAGAGGGCAATAATATTTAAGTAATTTTTCGTTGACCAAGTTTCCAGTACCGCCTTTTTTACCGCGTCAAAAATTTAATCGAGTCCCTGTTGTGGAATTACTATCGGTTAGACTTTGATAGAATTTCAATGATTATAATTGTATTTTTGTGCCGAGATTTACGCGGAGTACTCAACTGTTGAAGGAAACATAATTTTTTCGTGACAATTAACAAACTTAGAACTCCATAACAAACTGAAGTTGTATAAAACTCGAAAATATACTTACGAGTATATTTATTTGTTGTCCGATTGGCAGGATAGTAGACTGGATTTGACATTCTATTTAAAATGTCGATTTATTAGCACCTTTGGCAAGCATATCGGATGTATCTGTGTAGCCTATATGAATTACTGATTATGTACCTTAAAGAAAACAGTATCGGTATACGGGCAAAATACTGGACGTTGTGTTTCTACCTGTTTTGTATGACTTCTGTATTCAGTTAAATAATAAATCGAGAGTTGCAAAAATACTGGTACGCATCTAACAGGATTAGATGATGTTACGGCGACAGTGTACGGCAGGTATCCGGAAAATAATATTGTAAATTATTATACCGAAGCCTTTGCAGAAAAAGAGAATGAGGAATTTCATGAATAGATGACATTAATAGGTAGCGCGACAACCTTAAGACCATTAGCGTTACCCATTTCAAACACTTCTTAAAAAAAAGGCTGTTGACAACGTGACAAGGAAGTCTTGCATATACCAGGAAACAGTTTTTTCATTCTTATTGAATAATCTCTACAAATTCAACGCGTAGGTCTTTTTTTTATACACGAAAAAAATGTCTTTTCTCAACGGATAGATTTCTCCAGAAATTTTAAAAACTGACCTTTTTGTTTTTATTCAAAAGGGGCAAGAACATGTTTTTCAATCATCAACGATGTTGTATTTACATAACATTTTAAACATTTAACTACTGAAAATGATTATTTATTGCTTACGAAAGCTGACGTATAAAAGTTGTAACTTATTTTTTAAGTAAAAATATTTTAATCAACGAATGTATCTTTTCTTATTTCTTAATATTTTAAAGCTAAATCAAACGAGTTTATATCATTTTTGAATTTAAATGCTTCCAAAGTAATTACTTTAATTGAATTTATTTTTACTACAACTTTATTATCTTGTCACGTGTATACGTAGAGATAAACCCTATGTTTATACATAAATACAAATATACACGTGACATGTGTTCATGTTATTAATTATTGTTAAAAATATGCTTTTATACTTTCAATAAATATTGAAGTTAATCAATATTTCAAAAATGTAATTTAAATAATAATATATAATAGAGTATTATAATTATGGGTACTAATATTGCTTATGTTAATTTTGTATTAGTTTTTAATTATTTTAACTAATATAATCACTCAACTAATTATCCTACTAAGTCTAACTATTTTTGTAATTAATTTTCACATTAATAATTATGTAATTTTCGTGTGTATAGTATAAAATGCAAAACTTCACTACGACTCTCAGAGTATTAACCATTATAATGTCAATTATACAATATTTTATGTCTATAAATTTACTAATAATAAGTGATATTAGGGTTTTACAGGGTATACCTTCCCGTTAGAACGCATCTAATAATTAATATAATAATAATATAGGAAATAGTAAAAGATACTGTTATTAAACTCATTTAATACTCTTGAATCAAATCAAAATCAATTTTAATAATCGAATAAATCATAATAGTAGCTAAAAAGATGTTTTTTTTATCACTTGAACGACACGTCATACTAAAGTCATCATAAAATTTTTTTATTACTGTTTGATCTGTGAAAAGTTACAGATATAAGCGAGTAGAAAAGTGGATATAACAATCTAATACATATTGTATTACATGGCATTGTTTACTCATTTAACGATGGAAAGTTAAACTATAAAAGAAATAGCTTTGAAAGTGATAATCAATAAGTTTTTCTTATGTTGCAAAAAATTAAAGTGGGCTGCTGTTAAATTTTTTTTAAGATTTATTTTAAAACAGCCTTTTGAAAGTTTTTTTTCATAACGATAAATTACTTTTATTTGTTTTATGCGTAATCGGTTTTAGTTTTGAAAAATGTGTTAAATAAAAACTGAAGATCTGATTACCATTGTAAATTTTATAATTTTAAATTCTACATTTTATGTGCTCCTATTATATAAATTGAATTTTCGTGTCATAACGTGGCAATTATTTTAAACGGGTAAATTATGGTAACCATTCAATAGGTGTGATACAAAACAATGTAAAATAAAGTGTTTAATAAAATTTATAACATCATGTATACATTGAATTAATCTTAAAATAAAAAATATATTTTAAATATTTGCCACAAATGATTAATTCTTATTATAGATTTATATTAATTAGTCAAATTTTTGTTAATTTCAAAGAAATGTATCTTTTACATTAGCAAATTAATAAAATCAATACTTTTGATTTTATAGATAAAAATAAAATTGTATTAATGAAATATGTTAAGAATAATTTAATTTTAGTGCTTACTTTTTTTTTTTCTTTAAAAAGTTGTTTTATAAAAATTGATAAATCATATTTGTAGTATTTACACTGTTTATTTATTCAACTTATTATTATAAATATTTATTAACAGAGAAATATGACAGCGGTTTTACTGATGACTCATGTCGCGCATTTTTAACATTTTTGAAAATTGCGTTGACCGTGAAAAAATATATTGAAATTATCGACAAAATCGAACTTTTTGCAGAGTTAACGCATCGTTTGTACAAAAAAAATAATAATCTTAGGTAGAGCATACGATATATGAACAAGTTCAATTCTTTTTCATATCATTTGGTTTTGTTCAGGGTCAACACTTTGATTTGGGTCTGCGCAAGAGTACCAAGGCGGTAAAAAAGAACCCGAAAAAAATGAATTGCCATTTGTTGTAAAAAAAAAACTATGTCAAAATAATAGTACGTTATCGTAAACAATAATGTAATGTTGCAAACAAAAAGGTCCGTCAATATAACTGTAAATCATTCATAAAAGAATTGTATACTCGGTCTATATAGTTATATGGATTACATGTTTTTTATTCGAGAATTCCGGTTATACATGGGTTTTAATTCCGATAGATCATTAGTCCATCTCCACAGGAAGTAAGTGAAAATTTCTGCAGCGTTGAAAATAAGAGAAAAAAGGTAAAATAGTGAGAAAAAAAAAAGGTCAATGCGATGCCAATTCGAATTCGGTGTACGAAAAAACATCAGGGCAAGACCACACAACGAACCGCAAGAGTCATCGCACATCATCATCATTGTGTTAAATATAATTCTTTAGAAGTGATCTTTTTTTTTAACATGTAAAAATATACAATGAGGAAGACGCACGTATAACAACGTACGGTTCTTTTTTTTATAATAGACCTGACAACGGGTGTGTTGCGAGTGGTGTTTGCGTTCCACGTTGTGTAAACACTTACACGAATATAATACTGTTTGAACGCACGTTATAACTTAAAACGTGTACAAAGCCAAACTTTGTTTGGAATTATTTCGTTTTGAAACCTTAACTTTTGGCTGGTTAAAATCACATGACGGTCATGTATGTGTTGTTCTACTGTGTGGTGGTGGTGGTGTTGGGTCGGTTGGGAAGTCGCGCAAAGGTATTCTGGGCATACAGTAATAGATAAATGCATCACGTGTTGGATATTTGATAGCCAATAGACTTACGCCGGGAAACTTTACACGGGCAAACCTTTACCGCGTATAAGCCGAATTGTGCGTGACTCGTGTACAAAAAATAACACATTACCGATGTTAACGATTCAATTAACGTGTACTTGGAAAATTAAAAACAACAATGTCTAGATTACCTTGGCTGAAGAGTTGGGCGCACAGTTTTCTGAAACCAATCGATGAATACGCGAACGTTTTCAATGGCCGATAATGTTAGTAGTTGAATAAAATGCGGAATTTAAAAACAATTATCGATTTTCCGAGTAAAACGGATTTTTTCTTCTGCCTATGCAGAGCTACTCGATGACCAACGACACTAAGATTTACAACGGCAATGAATAATCATTTTCGTTCAATAAAATTCAGATAAATTTTATCTTAATTCTAAAGAAGGAGTAGTAGACCGATGCCTACTACGTTTCTCAATATTTGTATAATAGGCAACTACGAAAATACAATGAATTTTATTAGTCTTACAAACACGATTACAAGTAGATTATTTTTCATGATTGTTTTTAAATCAATTAAAATTCAATTAGGAGGCATTTCTACTACAGTCGGATAACGTCCGGTAGTGTAATTTATTTTTAATTTTTGTTCGGGGTCCAGTGTTCATTTCACACATAAACGCGAATAT